ATGTGTGTGTGTGTGTCTGTGTGCACGTGCGCATGGGTACAAGTTTTGGGGAATGGGAACAAAGGATGGGGGGCGTGGGGGGGCACCCAGCATTGATCATCAGGGGCCAAATCTGGCAGCCTGTCTCCACTTATCGGCATTTTCCCGGAGTGTGACTCACTTCTAATGGGGGGTCTTAGAGGGGGGCAGAGGGAATAAGAGCCCCCCCAGCACGGAATTCACCATGGCCATGCCTGATCCTCACTGAACACAGTGCCCCTGTGCTATGCTGGCTGATCTGATGATTTTATATCGTGATGCATGTCACTACCCGATCCGTGCCACCTCGTCTGCCATGCCCATAGCTCACATGTGAAAGACCCTGTGATAGGGGCACGTGATATAAACGTGATATAAACGTGATAGAACCTGGCCAGTCAGCACAGCTGTGACTCAGGATGTACCATAAACCAAAATCGGAATATCTGTCTGAATATCCTGTTCTGGGCTGCTAGCGATTGCTCACAAGCAGCCCATAAAATGAACCTGATGTAGTGCAAAGTAATATTAACAGAATTAGGTCGGCTTGTGAAAATTCCTGAAACAAAGTGGTACAAATCAGACCAGTCATATAATGTGCCATAAAGAATAATGCTGTACATGCGTAGACGTGCGAGGTGCCGATCAGGCGTGCGAAGTGCAGATCAGGCGTGCGAGGTGCAGATCAGGCGTGCGAGGTGCCGATCAGACGTGCGAGGTGCCGATCAGACGTGCGAGGTGCCGATCAGACGTGCGAGGTGCAGATCAGACGTGCTATTCAACCACCTTAAAACGGAAGCGTCCGACACAACTTTGTTTAATATTTAAAATAACATTTAACTCAGGATTTAATGGCCATTCTCTTTATTGCAATATTATGCTTTAAACTGTGGTAATAGGTAAGGGCCAAGGTTTGTTCTAGTCGCCACAGTATATTTCAAAATTGGAAGGAAAGATTGCAGTTTGGGTTGTGGATGGTGATTGTGTATTATAACGATCGCAATATGATTTTTTTGGGAAGATTGCCCACCCCCTAATGCTGACTGCCTCTAGGCTTGTCACTCTCGGGGGTGCCGGGCATTGGGGGGCTCATTACTGGAAAATTAACTGCTCTGTGTTTCAGGAATAGAATTTGCCCATAAAAAAATGGCATCTGCATTTCAGGCTGCGCAGGAGCTGCGTCAAACACACGGAGCGCATCGACGCGACTTCACACTGCTTACATCTTTGGCTCCAGCTTCCCGACTTCCTGCCACTTTGACGAACGCATGCAGGGTCCGAAAGCATCAATGGAACCGCGCATTTCCTGCGGCATCTACAGCATGCCCAGGGGAACCGCCAGTCTGAATTTGCCCCGTATGAACCCTGGAAAGCTTGTATGATGGTGAAATCCATCTCGTCCCCGATGAGGGGCCCTCCACTAGCCAGGATCGATTGCTACCGGCAATGAGGCTGCTTTGACAGAGCCATCCCCAGCTCGCACACCATCAGAGAGGCCTGCCCACACCCCAGGGCTAGTTGCCCCCACTCGTTCCCCAACTCGGAAAATTCCATAGCTGGAATATTTTGCATATGGGCAAAAATGAAAATCAGCTCTCAGAATGGAAGCGCCAATCCGATCTGATACTAAAACCAGTATTATCACCTGAGATTGAAATCAGCACGGTACCAAAGGGCAACCCCCAGGCGCTCAAACGAGGGGCCCCGACAGGTGTTTGATGTGTGGAGTGATGAGTGAGTGAGTCACAGAAGGTCGATGCTAATCAGAGAGACCCCTGACTGAATCCTGGGAACGTCATTCATCAAGGCTGGCTCTTCATACCTTGCTGCTGGTGTCGTTTGTGGGAGGGGGGCCAACAGGAGGAAGTAGAGCGATTTCGGGGGCGGGGAGAGACCGGGCTGGTGGGGATGATGACAGGAACAGCTGTGCTCATGGGCTTTTCCCAGAGCTGTGATCAACATTTACATGACATTTACATTTATTCAGTGGTAAAGCGCACAGCACAGACACCGAAACAAAGAGGGCTAACTATGTTCAAAAGCTACAGCCGTCATCAGAACACAGCCTTTAAGGTTAGAATCTGTTTTCAAATGTTGATTTTTTTTAGATTTTAGCATCAACCTACAATTACGACTCCAGGTCGTAACCTTTGTCTTTAACCACTCTGCCACCTGCTGGTCCTACCAGAAAATGCAACCAGAGGAGGCCAGAGTGTGCTGAAAAGCAGAGGTTTGCATGGAGCAGAGCTGCCCTCACAGTCAGATGAAGCTTCCTGTTACATTGTGGGAAATGTCCGACTCATGCCAGGGCCAAACAGCAGAAAGGGGGGGCTCTGGGCAGGAAGGGGCAGGCCGCGGCCTTAGCTCATCCCCAGCCAGAGGGCATCGCTGAACTGCGTCAGCGAGAAGCAGATAAACGGCAGCTCGCAAACATGCAGAAGAAGCTATTCGTCATCGCCATTCCCCCGGTTTCCTGCTCTCTTGCTGACGCATGGGGCGAAAGAGAAAAACGCAGCTTTGCAGGAACCCGGTGAAACCACGGGTCGGAACACGTCCATGATGGCTGTCTGAATTAGCTCCGCCCTCCAGGTCTCTCCACCAATGTCAGGATGCCAGGAGGGAACAATAACTCCCCTCCCACAAACCATATTCTCACCTCCTCCCATTTCTGTGAATGTACATCCCCCCCCCCCATCCCATTACCATCCACGACAAGGTGGCATCTCCGCCATTGGATTGGCTGAATCACAAAGTTGCACTGCATCACTGGGCACGGACGTTCCAGAATTTTCCGGGGTCACCATGATGATCCTCCGATAACAAAACTGCATCGACTCCTTCTAACCGCTCCCCAGTTTTCTACTGGAGACCAGACATGCAATCATCTCTCATGGTTTGACTTAAAAAACACACTACAGCGATAAAATTCTGCTGTGCTGGGCGTGTTGACGCATGGGTTCAGCAAAACGCTGGCACGCACGGGATCGAAGCCGGGAGCAGTTACCCCCGCACACGTCGGGGGGTGTACGCAGATGTTGATGTAATTCACGGCAAAGCCATATCCCACATCCCGTGGCCGGCAGAGATTAGGCTCCCTGGGATAATTCCCCATTAGCAGACCGCAGTCAGACATAACCGGTTAACAGCATTTTAGAGAGCTGACTAAGTATTGTGGGCGGAGAAGAAGTCATCCCCATATGCACT